TGACTTTTGTTTTTTTTTTTTTTTTTTTCTGTCCAGTGCAATAAACACGAACGAAAGGGTAAGGTAATCGCGCGTTGTCAAACACGATCCTTAAAAAGATGGAATAACAGAATTTATACTGCGCTAATAGCTACCTGCTTCTGACTATTTGTCGTTTCGAAAGGGTTTTATGACGCTCAGACTTTTTAACCACACCAAAAAATATATAACGCTTACATATTCTTTATTTTTCTTAGACAAATCCTAGATCCGCTCCTCAGTCGCTTAAATGCTCTTTGCCGTTTTCCGGGGACCTTTTTTTTATTCTTTTCCGACTTTTGCGACGATATAACTTCTCGTTATATTTTTATTAAGGTAAATTGAGCGTGACGATTTTCCTCTCTCCCCTTTTTACCACATCACCGATGGAAATCGAGTTTATGATGCTTCGTCGTAACGGATAGTTTCCGTTATAACTATAAGATTTATATATAATTATAAGTTTACAAGATTACGCTTACGACTATAATATTGCATTGTCATCTTCTTATTTAAATCAGATATAGTATTCGCGTAAATTCTCTATTTTAGATAATCTACATAATCTACAAAATAAAGGCAGTAAAATAAAATTTTATAATAATTTTAAAATAACATTTTTTTATTCCTCGTATATGTTACGATCCGCAGACTGGCGATCTTTTCTTTTAAAGAGAAAAAAATGTCTCTTAATGAAACAAGAGTTATAATTATAATCATATGATTTCTTTGTGCTTATATTGATTTAACTAACATTTTAATTTGCTTTATCTTTGCCTTATCTAAGGATAAGATCCGTATAGGTAGAGAATTTGTGTTGCGCATTCGTGTAAGCTGGAATATGGGCGAATGGCATTTGTGGGCAAACGACTTCATTTCATCGCGCCTTGATGGGTCGTTAAGCCGGTGGCGTTCATACGGAATTATCTCGTTCCATCGAGGCACGACCGGTAAACGAGTCGAGTTTCCCGGCTGAATCACTCGTAGAGTTAATTGTTTTCACCGCACCCTACCCGTCCCTGTTTGTATACACTCTCGCATACATATGATCATTCACGTAACCCCGTCGGCAGGGGATTCTCTGGAGAGAGAAAGAACTCCTTTCTACTTTTAAATACTTTATGTAATTGTGCTCAAGGCATGCGTAGCCCCAATTTAGCTATATATGATATTAAAACTATAAAAAAATAGTCTCAAGTTAAATATTTCATTTAACTTTCCAAAAATAGCATTGTTGTGCAATCAAATTGCTAATAATTAGTAATTTTATACTCAACTATAAAAATTATTCGTAATAAATGTTTTTTCGATAGATCATAGAGAAATAGAGAGGAAAAGGTGATAAGAGGATAAAGGATATAATTTATTATAATATATATAGATATTGTAATATTTATATATAATATTTTTATTCATCTCATTGTTTTATTTCTTCCTTATTTTTTTACTCTTTTCGCACTTTCCGGAGCTTACTAAGTTATAGTTTTATATACAAATATTACTATATGCTAAACCCCTGACAATATTGGGCAAAATGTACTCGCAGATAGTTAATAACAATATTTGCAGCCATGTAACCTTCAGAAAACATACAATTAATATAAATATTATATCACGATACTTTTCGAAGATCGACATAAAGATTTGACTGTACAGGCATGCAGATTCTGGAGATACATACGCAATCCATCTGATACACGAGCTATTTGAAGCTTACAATTTATATGATACAGCACTTATTATATTTTCGCGTTTAGCGATTAATGTTCGGTTGTGTGTGTCACTCTAATTCTTCCTTATTAAACTATATATATTACATAGCTATATTATATGCTATATACAAAATATAATACATTTATATACAAATATACATATCTATAATTATTATTTTTTATGTACATTACATTTTGCTCAATAGTATTTTCTAATAAGAATCTAACTTTCGGCGTGAAAACTACAATTATTTCTTATCACCTTTTCCTTCATCCTGCCTATATTACACGTTCTTCTACTTCTACTTCACTGTTACTACACTAAACCTAACGTATCATATGCCTTGACATTCATTAAGTGCATTTTAAATATGAAAGATACGTATCACGTGTATTCGAATGTGGTGCCTTGATTATTTAGTAAAGAAATAAAACATTGTACTTATATAATGTACAGATAATATTTGACGTTCATCATATTTCAGATAATTCTTTGTTTTTATAAAATATGACACTTATCAAATATGAATTATGTCAGTCATTGAATGTCGTTACTTCATTTTTCTATAACATGTAATCATGTGAACGTCTGCTATTCGATGGACATCGTGGCACGATTTCTCTGGCGATACGATTTAACAGATATATTTTTTTTAATGATTTCTTTGCAATAAACCAGTACACAAAAAGTTTTAAAGCGCGGTAGCTTTTCATTATCGAGTTACGAGCATTATTATTTACATCGTAAAAAATAAAAAAATTGTTATTAAAAGAAATAAAAAATTATATCATAAAAAATAAGAAATTATAAAATATTTATAATATGTGACACTTATCTAAAATTATAATCTAGTAAGCTATTATTACCTTATTTTTTTCTATTAATAATTAATAAATAATATTTTATATATAAATAATTCAAAATATATATAGTCGTTGCAATTTTTTGTTTCCACCATTGATTTCAGTCAGTGTTCAAATCGTGTCGCCAAAAATTATCGAAATCTCACCGAGAAAGATACAATCTTAAGATAAATAATAATAGATTAAAATCAGAATAAACGTGTGTTGATCTGAAGGATTAAATAATATTACAGCTTAACTTAAATTTCTGTATACATCCATGTGTAATGTGTCGATTCAAAAGGGACTCATTTAATAATTGTTAAGGCATTTAATTTATGACATCTATTAATCTATCCCAAAGAAATAGCCTTGATGTACGCGACTGGCAGTAAAGTTAGCACAAAGTAGGATTCGCGGTACTCAATAGCGAACACACAAATGCTAACAGGGAAGGCATTTCTTTTACGCAAGTTAAAATATTTGTTTACCGCTCAGCAGGCGGTATTTATAGAAAGGAATTTATACGTAACAAACAAAGATCAAGGCTATTCTCTCGTAAAACACATAATACCGTACAAGAAGTATCTCTATGGCAGAGGATAGTCGGAAAAATGTGTTAAGTATAAAGCCCCGCTTGCGTGTAATATATCACAAATGAAACAATTACTTCTTATACGGTTGGAATAGCTCGGTTTTATTAGTAGGCGCCGATACCGCCGCCGCCGCCGCCGTCGTCGTTGTCGATGTCGGTGTCGGTGTCGGTGTGGACGTCGACAACGGCGGAGTCGTTGGCAAACTGTATAGATTTTCAGAAACGAACGATATCGAAGTGATAGGTACATTCATACCGTTCGGTGGCAGTTTAACCGACTGTTCCGCTCCGATGATCCTGTCCCGCTGCGCTTGCATCGAGATCGCATTCGTCACGTGCTGCCGCGAATGATGCGAGTGGAGTGGATGATGCATAACGTGCTGTGGCTGCGACGGCTGATTACCGCACGATTCGCATTCGCTGGATGTATCCGAGTCCATCGGGCTCACCTCCGTTTGCAGCAACGGTGGACCGTACGTGATGGAAGTAGGGGAAGGATTGCTGACAGGGGGAAAGGCGTTACTGCCAACGGTCGGCACGCCCAGACCGAAGTGCAAGGGCAGATGAGACGGATGAGATTGCAGCATATGCGAGTGTGTAGGATAAGGGGCGGCCGCAGCGCGCGGATGTGGTCGATGCAGCGGGCTTATCGAGGAATACGGCGAGTACCGCGTGGCATAATACGTCGCAGCCGCGGATACGTACGGCGTCGCCGAAGGGGCCAGATGCGCCGTCGCCGGTATACTTGGTATCGCGCTGTGATAGGGTGATATCGGTGAAAGGGCGCTGGAAGCCGCCGCGATCAATGTCGCGAACGTCGGATCCGAGCACACGGTCAACGGCCACGTAAATGCCATTCGTTGTCTCTTATCTTTCATACGTCGATTCTGAAACCACACCTGTAACAAACAAAACAATTATCAAATTAATTATTGTCATTCGCCTGTGCTGAGGAGCGAGCGAGAAAGATATATTGTATATACATACATAAACATATATTCAATAGCTCCGTGTATTATCGTCGCATTATCATCTCTCGCGCTATTTATATATTTCGCTATCGATCGAAACGATATGAAACGAGAGTCGGCGAAGCGATGGTATAAATATTCTTGAATATTACGCAATTTGCGCGAATATCTTTAATTTTTTTATGTATATTATTGTATATCGTTTACTTGTGTTAAGACATGATAAAATCGCGGAAGATAATTAATCGCGCAGATTGACAATCGCTAAATGTAATTATGGTCGCGAGATTATTCTCCTTATCGCGATCGCATTTCGCGAGACGCGAGATATTACACGACGACGCATGAAGCCGGTATTAAAGCTCGTGCCTTAACTTCCCCCTCCCTTTGAGTCTCGCCGCGTGAAATGTAAACATGACGACCGCGCATAAACAATAGCGTGCAAAAAGCGAACGCCAAACACTGTGTTTATGTTACTGTCGCGACAAATATTTTAACATATTTTATAAAATCGCAATATTCTCTTTATATATTATTTTTCATTTTCAAATTGATTGTTAATATACGACACGTAATGTATATATCACGGCTTCTCGTTTTAAATTATCCTTCTAATATAAATTATAATTTTAATATTTATCTGCAATATCATAGACATAATTTCTCGCTATTTTATCTCGCGAATTTCGGAACACCGTGTATTCTAAATAAGTATACGGATACATATTTACGAATAAAGAATTCTCGGAGGCGGCGAACGATTATATCGATAATTCGTGCGGGACGTTTACCGTCGTTTAACACCTCGACCATTCGCTCCTCCATTGCCCGTGCGTTTTACGGCCGCCGGCGTCGGCCGACGAGCTATAGCGCGAGACGAGAAATTAAGAGAACCATTAATGTCTGAGGTGGGTCGCGAGGCAGTCGCTAATTGAGCCGTTTAACACTTTTGCTCGACCGGATCGACTGGTCTCTCCCCTTTCCTCTCCCCCTGATACCGAGATCAGTGCCGTAACTAAAACAGTGACGGTTCTCCTCCGACGCGTTAACACGGCCCTTTCGTATATATATGCATTACGTAAAAGCCCTATTTTAGTCTACTGCGTTGAGAGATCTCAGGGGATTACTTTACGGCACTGTGCTGTAAGAACCACGGTGCTGAATCGCTTTCCAGGCTATAATCGCCGATCAAACATGGCCGCAGCTGGCCGCGGCAAGAAATAACCGGCAGCTCTTGGCTTGCGAACAAAAACGCCACTAATTGCTTCTATTAAGTGCTCGGTGTTAGGAGTCTCTATCTCTTAGTGGATGCAACAGCCGTGAGAAATTAAAAATCAGAATATACGGAATATATACATATGTATAAATATATGGATAAATTTATTCTCTATTTTTTTATAAATAAATAAATTATATATACATATTTTATATATGTATAAAGAAAATAAATAATATTTTATGTCTGAAAAAGATGGAGATATCTATTTATATATTGGGTTTATTAATCGTTAATTGATTCAAGGATTTTCTTTAACGATCTCTCGCAAGGTTTCGATCAAACACGAAAGCGTTAATGAAAAACGTTATTGCATCGACTATAGATGAAGTCATTGTCTGTTGAATTTTGTACGTAAACATTTACTCATCTCAAATCAAAGAACTCCCGGTATCGATCGTAATATTCAATCTAATATTATCTCGTATAATATAAAGAAAGATTACTCAACCTTTAGTCAGTTTATTATAATCTGAATTTTTCAATATCTAAGCGGAATATATTAATGAAAATGTGAAATAAATAATGATATATATTATCGGCAGCAATGAAATAATTTTGCGATCATAATGGCGAAAAAAATTTATAGTTTGTAACTTTTTAAAAGAATTTTTCGTGAGAATATGTGCGTCCGAGACAACTTTCCAGTAGAATATTTGCATTTTTTAAAAATTTCCTTACCTTGATCGTAGATTCTGGTAAACTAAGCTGCGTGGCGAGCTCGCATCTCCTCGGACGACTCACGTAATTTTCTCTGTTAAACTCCTTTTCCAAACGAGATAATTGTTCCCTCGTAAAGGCGGTTCTGTATCTCCGGACTGTATCCACAGGGGGATTTGGCGATTGTTGCTGTTGTGTTTGTTGTTGTTGATGATGGCGTCGCCGAAGGGGCCAGATGCGCCGTCGCCGGTATACTTGGTATCGCGCTGTGATAGGGTGATATCGGTGAAAGGGCGCTGGAAGCCGCCGCGATCAATGTCGCGAACGTCGGATCCGAGCACACGGTCAACGGCCACGTAAATGCCATTCGTTGTCTCTTATCTTTCATACGTCGATTCTGAAACCACACCTGTAACAAACAAAACAATTATCAAATTAATTATTGTCATTCGCCTGTGCTGAGGAGCGAGCGAGAAAGATATATTGTATATACATACATAAACATATATTCAATAGCTCCGTGTATTATCGTCGCATTATCATCTCTCGCGCTATTTATATATTTCGCTATCGATCGAAACGATATGAAACGAGAGTCGGCGAAGCGATGGTATAAATATTCTTGAATATTACGCAATTTGCGCGAATATCTTTAATTTTTTTATGTATATTATTGTATATCGTTTACTTGTGTTAAGACATGATAAAATCGCGGAAGATAATTAATCGCGCAGATTGACAATCGCTAAATGTAATTATGGTCGCGAGATTATTCTCCTTATCGCGATCGCATTTCGCGAGACGCGAGATATTACACGACGACGCATGAAGCCGGTATTAAAGCTCGTGCCTTAACTTCCCCCTCCCTTTGAGTCTCGCCGCGTGAAATGTAAACATGACGACCGCGCATAAACAATAGCGTGCAAAAAGCGAACGCCAAACACTGTGTTTATGTTACTGTCGCGACAAATATTTTAACATATTTTATAAAATCGCAATATTCTCTTTATATATTATTTTTCATTTTCAAATTGATTGTTAATATACGACACGTAATGTATATATCACGGCTTCTCGTTTTAAATTATCCTTCTAATATAAATTATAATTTTAATATTTATCTGCAATATCATAGACATAATTTCTCGCTATTTTATCTCGCGAATTTCGGAACACCGTGTATTCTAAATAAGTATACGGATACATATTTACGAATAAAGAATTCTCGGAGGCGGCGAACGATTATATCGATAATTCGTGCGGGACGTTTACCGTCGTTTAACACCTCGACCATTCGCTCCTCCATTGCCCGTGCGTTTTACGGCCGCCGGCGTCGGCCGACGAGCTATAGCGCGAGACGAGAAATTAAGAGAACCATTAATGTCTGAGGTGGGTCGCGAGGCAGTCGCTAATTGAGCCGTTTAACACTTTTGCTCGACCGGATCGACTGGTCTCTCCCCTTTCCTCTCCCCCTGATACCGAGATCAGTGCCGTAACTAAAACAGTGACGGTTCTCCTCCGACGCGTTAACACGGCCCTTTCGTATATATATGCATTACGTAAAAGCCCTATTTTAGTCTACTGCGTTGAGAGATCTCAGGGGATTACTTTACGGCACTGTGCTGTAAGAACCACGGTGCTGAATCGCTTTCCAGGCTATAATCGCCGATCAAACATGGCCGCAGCTGGCCGCGGCAAGAAATAACCGGCAGCTCTTGGCTTGCGAACAAAAACGCCACTAATTGCTTCTATTAAGTGCTCGGTGTTAGGAGTCTCTATCTCTTAGTGGATGCAACAGCCGTGAGAAATTAAAAATCAGAATATACGGAATATATACATATGTATAAATATATGGATAAATTTATTCTCTATTTTTTTATAAATAAATAAATTATATATACATATTTTATATATGTATAAAGAAAATAAATAATATTTTATGTCTGAAAAAGATGGAGATATCTATTTATATATTGGGTTTATTAATCGTTAATTGATTCAAGGATTTTCTTTAACGATCTCTCGCAAGGTTTCGATCAAACACGAAAGCGTTAATGAAAAACGTTATTGCATCGACTATAGATGAAGTCATTGTCTGTTGAATTTTGTACGTAAACATTTACTCATCTCAAATCAAAGAACTCCCGGTATCGATCGTAATATTCAATCTAATATTATCTCGTATAATATAAAGAAAGATTACTCAACCTTTAGTCAGTTTATTATAATCTGAATTTTTCAATATCTAAGCGGAATATATTAATGAAAATGTGAAATAAATAATGATATATATTATCGGCAGCAATGAAATAATTTTGCGATCATAATGGCGAAAAAAATTTATAGTTTGTAACTTTTTAAAAGAATTTTTCGTGAGAATATGTGCGTCCGAGACAACTTTCCAGTAGAATATTTGCATTTTTTAAAAATTTCCTTACCTTGATCGTAGATTCTGGTAAACTAAGCTGCGTGGCGAGCTCGCATCTCCTCGGACGACTCACGTAATTTTCTCTGTTAAACTCCTTTTCCAAACGAGATAATTGTTCCCTCGTAAAGGCGGTTCTGTATCTCCGGACTGTATCCACAGGGGGATTTGGCGATTGTTGCTGTTGTGTTTGTTGTTGTTGATGATGTTGATGATTAGATTGCAGGTGATGCTGTTGATCTTTATGCAAAGTCGGTGATTCTATATAAAATGCACATATAAACACGTTATAATTTTTTTTATCTCAATACAATCTCGGTATTGAAAGAAATGGTTAATTAATTGGCTAGATTTAATAGATTAGATTCAATTAGAGCTAATGCAATTATGGCATAATATATAATATACATATAATAATTCCTACTGCAATTATTATTTTAACAATAATCGTAAGAATGTCAGATTATTCATGTCTCATTAATGACGATACAGAAAATATTTAATGATAAAAATACCAAATAATCAAAACGTGAATATATTCCACGATATTAATTTGTATTCTGATACGTAATTTCATAGAATCACTCTTTATAGAATTTTTTGAAGCCGGTGAATTTTATTCTGTTGCACATTCAGATTAAGTATCTGCACACATTTAAATACAAAAAGAAACACTTAATCACACTCTAAATTATGTAATGTCAAAGAAATCTGGTTTTTCCTCCATGTCTCATTTTGTTTATGTATAAGCAGAAATTCAGGGAGTCATCCGACAGTTGCGAAAAATTTCGACAAGGAAGAATGAAACACCATTGTTCCTGTTTCGGAAACATGGGTTTCGGAAACAATCATGCACTTTTCTACAAACGAAATATCGTCGCAGAGACATTTAACAGCGGGTGATCGCATTTAGAGTTACGTGAACTAGAGATCGCAGATCACAAAAGAGGTGGTTCGTGGTCTATTCTGCTACTGTGGCAGAGTTTGCCTTTCGGCATGAGATCGGACGACCTTTTCGCGCGGTTCTTTTCAGTCTGTGGTTTACGGTACAAACAAATCGTCATTTCGAGATAAATGACGATGTGATAATTAAAATGATATAATTTTGGCATCAAGGTTTTTGATGCCGCAAATATAAAGGAAAATTATTTTTGTGTACAATACACATGAAATCAGTTGCTTTATAATGCTTAAAATATATAGAATTTACACTTTCATTCAGGTATAATTTACAAAAGACTAAGGAATTACAACTAGGTATACAATATGTTATTTCAATTGATCTCCGACAAAAGATCGTCGTAAAATAATTATCGTCATAAAATACTTTCAGTCGTAAATAAACTTTTATTGTTAACTATTTATAGCTTTATTTTCCAAATTTAAGCTCTATTCAAAGACTGCGACAATTAACATTTACGATTTCTAGAAGAAAATCCAAAGAAAGTAAAAATCAAGATATAAACGCGTTTCGCTAAATTTCGTTAAAAGTTTTATAATTAAATTTAATCTTACTGTACGCGAGGGACGCGTTAACGATTAAATTTTCGATTTCGTTTATCCATAGTAATAATTAAAAGAATGTTCGATGACGATTTAGTTTTCGAGCGATTAATAATTTCAGTGGAAACGTAATGAAGTCGTGGATTTATAATAAATTGTTCCTTGATTATATCGCATGATTATCGCGCGTCTTAATTATACATAAACAGCCTAAACTCATACATTTCCGGTCAACAATTTTCGCTTAAATAATAGACGTATTACGATAACGTTTCAAGTTCAGCGGTTCGGAAATATGAACCGGGTATAATAATGTAATGAAATTTACCATTCTCTGATGATGTGGATACTTTTGATGGCGGGCTGTATCCATACGGCGGCAAATCGACCACTATCGTATCGTCTTCGCCCACATCTTCCTTTGGCTCATGTACGAATTCTTCGTTATTATAAGTGGAGTGCATTGTGTCGTCACTTTATAACAGAGGGAGATACACATATTTATCACTTTATTAACGTTATAAATTTTAGATTATAGTTTGAATTCTCAAGATATTTTAATCAAAGCATGAAGAGTTTAAGGTGAAAATTAATTAGCTACTTATCCCGACGATGCATGCCGTCGATATAGTTATAGTCAATTTTTATTTTATTTTTTTGCTGTCGCGATGCATTACTTGACATAAATCTTATCATATCGGAAAAGTAATATAATACACACTCGCAAACTGAGTCTTTGTCATCGTCCTCTGTCTAGCAAAATAAACTTTTGAGTGGAGATGACAAATTGATAACACATTTGTATATAAACGACTGTACAACATTTGTGAAAACAATCTATAAAATTACACGTAATTTAGGGAAATATATTATATATTTAAAAAAAAAAAAAAGTGTAGTAAAAGGCTGCTAAGAGATACCGTCGGCACGTGAACGTTGACACGTGAGTGCGGCACGTGAATGCCGGTACATGAAACGTGAATAATATTTTATGCGTCGTATATTTTTAAACTGATATTCTGCGACAGATCAATCAAGCTCGAAGCTCGTACAAATACACAAATCGATTTATTCACCGTATATTTCATACATGTATGATTCGGAAAATATTATACACATGTGCTATCTTTTTATGTACGCGAGAATGTATGTGATACTACTTGATTTTATCTCTACATTTATCACTTTAAGCTCTTCCTAAGAAATATTGTATATAACTGAGAAAGATATATACCTGATAAATATATCACCAATCACACTAATCGTTCGTTTACATAATATAATATCTCTTTTTCTTTCTTCTAGATTTTCGTACAACACTTTTTAGTCACACACAGTCGCGCAAATGTCTTAAACTTGACTAACAGATTACTAAAGCGTCCAGAAGGTATATATAGATCCACTTCCCCTACCCCAGGCTCTAGGTTCTCTGATTGGCGAGAGCTTTGGTCGTTGCGCTTACATCCCGTTGAACGAGGGGTGGAGCCTACCTGACACTGGTCTGGTGTGTGCACTATAGACTAACAGTGCGGTCGGAAGCAGACAGGATCGGATTTAGATATTTCCGCGACCCTAGACACAACAATTTTTACCCCTCTATTATACAGTATATTTTTTTAAATTTTTTTATCGATGGCATTACATTAACATCTCAAACGATTTTGACTTTTTGTATAATATATTGTAGAAGTGAGGGTACTGATTAATATTTGTTTTTCTGCTTATATTAAACTGTCGATTAAATTGTAAGCAATGTAATTAGTACATTTACTTCTACATATATCAAGGTAAAATTCATGGGAAGCATGCTAATATAAATAACTACCTAATTTTTATTTTATCCAATTATCCATTTCTTATGTGAATTATATTATTTAATTGTATTTTGTTTTTCTACTGCTGTCAATATTATTAATTGTATTATAAAGAATTTAATTCTTTAATTAATTTTATTGCAAAATCGCAAATTTCTCATGATTGAATTTGTTAAATTCCTATACGTTACGTAACAGCAGAGTTTTATTATATTTTAAAGAATGGTTTGTTTATTGTATCAATCTGTGTATATATTTAACATATGACAATTATAAGATTTGAAGCTTCTTATTGTCGTTTTCCGTACTAATGGCATATTTAGGATGGGATTTAGCTGCGGGATCCTCAGTTAATGTCTAAAGGTATCTAGTAGAATCTCTCTATCCCCTGAACAATGTAAACTCCGTGAATACTGTCATAAATCTTCGAAATTGTACCTTTAAACTGGTCGAGGGATGACAAAATGATTATATGACCATGTGCAAATTTGAAACTTTAGTCACCCTTTTTCTCACTCTTTTCTACCTTATTTTCTTTTATTGTTTAATAAAAACATCTTTTGAAATTTTATCTTCGGTAAAACGGTTTAGGTAAAACCAGAGAAAAACTAATGTTAAATTACAAACATTCGAAAAAGATTGCTGATGGATCGGATACTAAGCAGCATCTGACAATGTCCATTTTGTAGAAAATTAATTAAGAATTGAACTACCACTGTAGATCCTTTGAAGCAACCAAACAGAAATAGAGAGAGAGAGAGAGAGAGAGAGAGAGAGAGAGAGAGAGAAAGAAAGATATTGTAAAAATAAAAAATCCAAAAATCTCTTTCAAGGCCATAGAAATGTTGCAGCAATATATCATTATAAAAATTACAATGGAATAATCTATTATATTAAATTAATCGACTTTGTATGTGAGATTTTACGTGCGAGATAATAATTATTATTGATACGCGCATGACAAAAGTGATATAATATAATATTCATTAAATTGATAGTGATTAAATAGATTTAACTAACTGTATGTACGTTTTCGTCCAACTAAAATCTCACATTATACACGAACATTTAATGAAAAAAATTATATAATTATATGTTACTTACGCGTTCTTAAAACAAAAAAATTAGACTTTTTCATTTATTATTACACAAAAAAATATTTCTTGACATGGAAGCTAACATATAAATAAGTTAGTATACTTAGCATGAATTTCCCCTCACATGCGTTAATAATAAATTATTCTGCGAAACAAATAGAATTTGTACGCTAAAAAATTGAGAACAAAAATAGCTCGTAAAGAAATTACAAGAAAAATGGATCAAAGCTACTAGGGTGTGTCTAGTTTTACCAATTTACTTCGTCATTGCCTGCCATTATCTTCTTTGTCGAAAACGGGATACCTCGTAAAAAACTGCTCTGTTTGTAAATGTATCTATAGCTTGTGTAATATATATACTGTACGATCTTTATGGTTTTTTATTTGTATATAAAAAGTACCGCTTTTTTTTAGAAAATATTTTTCGAATCCCGTTTTTTTGTACCGTAAAGTACAACCGTTGGCCATTAGGGAAAATAGAACATGTTTTTAAAACGGGAACTAGAAACATTTTTTTTTTCCTTTATATCGAGGAGGACCTTCCACGAGAATTATTAGGTAACTAACGGTATCTTTCGGATGAAACTGTACTGCATTTATTTGTCACACACGTGCAAAGCTTAATACAACGATGACTCACATATATCCATCTTGCGAGCAAAATCTTAAAAAATAGTTAATAGATTATATATTATTAATTTTTATTTTTCTATTACATATGTTTACATACGGAGCAGTTTTCTTTATAAATTCTTTTATAAAATTTATTTAAAAAATTTCGTTTAAACTCTTTTCAAATTCATTTGATCAGTACGATATTGATATACATTAACGCTGATAGATTTGATTAATTTTTTTTGCTGCCAGAGCTCATATTCAAGATATTTCGCGCTTACTTCGCCTCTTTAGCTACGTCAGTGTACACGGTTATGCGCACGGTAGGAGAAGTGGAAACGGGGAGGGACGAGAGATAATTGGCGCGAACAGCTCGGCCAGATGTGGTCGCGATCATGCCGCTGATTAAACGGTTTGATTAAGCGACTAATTTACTCACATGCGCGATGTAACATTACTTTATGCGAAATCTATACCGCTCTCCTCTCCCCCGTCCCGATCTGCCATACGGACGCACAGCTCGCAAATCACGGGGGTATCACTTGGCGGGATATCAAACAGTAGCCACGAGTATTCTTCGGGATGCGAAGAGACGATTTGATGAAATAAGCTTCGATATTATCCAATAACTATTAGCATGTCAATTCATTGTAATCCGACAAAAAAAAAAGAGAGAAATTATAATTTTTTTTCGCTCAGACACTTGACAATTGATGATAATTTACATTAATCTAATTTGTATACAAGAGCTCACAATCTCAAGATCTTTAAATTTTGCATGTAATTATTTTATTTCGAACAAAATATTTGAGCAAAAATCTCAGAATCTCGTTTTAAAAACGACATTTGAAAACTGCATTAGAAATTGCACATTTATTTCTTTTTATTTGTATTTTATTAAAGGTTTGTTAAAATGTTAAAATAATAAAAGTACAGTCTATTATTATCTATTATCGAAACGAATATATATTGTTATTGTCGGGAAGGTCATTGTTCAGAGATTAATCCTGTTACCCAAAAAAGACGTAAAAATGTCCTTTTTCTTTTGCTATTATGCTTTTGCTAACGGCCTCTTTCTTTCTTTTAAAGCTGAATTCAAAATGACAAACTCTAATCCGACAAACAAACGAAATTTTGACAAACTAACATCTGTTGTGTTCTATTGGTGCTATTGATATTATGATTAATAATGATCACATTTTATTATAATGGTAAAAATGACGAATTCTAATTTTATCTTGCTTTCTATGTTCAAAGAATGTAGAATTAAAATCAAATTTTTGGCCGTTTTTGTTTTTCATGAGCAATAATAAAAATATTTTACATCAAGGTCTACGCAAAATACAAAAGAAGTTTTATGTTATGAAGACTTAGAGTTTTCAATCATGATTAATCATTAAAATATAATCACATATATGTATAATTGATACGGTATTAAGTCATAAACATTAACAGAGTCTTCGATGAGGCAGCGTTTGATGCGATCGTCGTTCCATTTGCGAATCATTCGTAATCAATTACTCTTACGAGCTCGCGAATTTACGGTTCTGGGGACGAGAACGGATATAGCCATAGCACAGGATATTTCGTGCGATTAATTTGACACGCGTGACATGGCGCACAATTAAGCCAATTATTGGCGAATATCTGAAAATTAGCGTATCGTGCGCGTGTAGTGGAAAACGGTTTATATCCTTTATATCGAGCCAACGAAATGTGGTTTTAATAGACATGTCGATGTCTCTGCTACAATGGGAGGAGGGAGAGTGTAAATAGTACGAACCACCATCACCAGTTATATATAGGGTCTTTTAACGATAAATTCTTGAATTAAAGGCATTATTGGCATTTACCATAGCAGGACCGTAGTGTGATTATTTAACATCCTAAAGTCGATTGTCGTATTTTAAGACCAAATTATATCAAAAATTTTCATCGCAATCTCGAA